TGTGGAAACTTGTATATTTATATATACTATCACGGCTAATCAATTAGTATATTCGTTAAATACTAAATAGCAAACATATAACTTAGGAAAAGACTACGTACAATCCCAACACGGAATGGTTGATGGCAGGGGCGTAGCCAGAAATTTTTTCAACCTGGGGCTGCATATTATTGTAGCTATTATTGGAAGCGAGTAGACATTGTCATGGGCCGAGCCAACCTGTCAGTTCAGCCCGAACAGACACAACCCAGCCCGTTGATCATGGGTCTTGAACAAACCCGTGGTTTTGACTGAGCTGGTTCATGTACAAATACTTTATAATTTATACATTTTGAACCGACATTTTTTGTTCTGAACTGGAACTAGAGGTTCAGCCTTTTTTAAAAAAAATATCATTTTTTAATTGTTTTATATTTTATAATGAACCGGACGACCAAGAACCGGTAGTTCAATGAATCGGCCTGTGGATATGTTCGCGCTGGTTCAGGACCCTCCAACTCTCGGCCCGAGATCGGCGGTTTCGACCCATAACCCGTGTTATACCACAAATACTCGAACCGCTGGACCGCTCCTCTCGAACCGGGTTGCGTCTCCTTGGTCGTCGGTACCTGCAAAGCACGCCGGGGGTGGTCCCGGCGCGAACACTCCGACGCTCAAGTCAGTGATGGTCTAGAGAGAAAACGACAGAGTAACGAGATAGTTCGTGAATGTGTGTTGTGTAAAAATGAATGAACCTGCTCCTTTTATAGGAGAAACTTGGAGAGTCCTCCTGAGACAAGAAGTCTTCTTGATGTTTATCTTTATTGTCTCTAGAGTTCTTATTGCTGTCAACCTCCTTGTAACTTAATCTCAACGCCAATGCCAAGTTCCAGCCCCTTTGACGGCGCCCTCGGGCCGGGCTGCCTAGATGCCAAGTACTTTCTAACATCGAACACCCGAGGCCGCGCACTTGGGAGTGCCACGCACCTGGGAGTGCCGCGCACTTGAGGGTGTCGCGCACTTGAGGGTGCCGCGCACTTGAGGGTGCCGCGCTCTTGAGGGTGCCGCGCACTTGAGCGTACCGCGCACTTGAGGGTGCCACGCACTTGGGGGTGCCGCGCACTTGGGCGTGAAGTGCCCTCCATACAAGTGCGACGACCGAACCGCGACCGGCCCTTCATGAACCACTACTAACGACCACATCAGACTCCTTCGTAACTTGATCACAAAGCCACCTTCAGGTTCTATCCTCCTCGATGGCCCACGAGGGCCGCCGAGCGTACGAGGGCCGCTAGACACCTCCCAAGGCCGAGCACCCATCGAGAACCTAGCATCGGGTACTCTGCATGCCGGGCACCACCTACGCGGAGCACTCCTCATGCTGGACACTTATCCCATGTCGAGCATTCGCCACTTGCCGGGCACTCACCCAACCGCCCGACTACCACAATGCCTAGCCGGTCCTCTTCATAAGGCAGTAATAACCGGATCACAATCGGTTCCTCACGAACTGCTACTAATGACCACATCAACCCGTTTTCGTTATGACTAGCATTAAATTATCTGTTAACATAGGCCAGTTTGAATTGGGAAAACTCAACCTCGACTCACTTATATATTTAAACAAGTCAAATTGAAATAGCTAATCGAACTTGTCGATCAAACAAATAGAGTCGAACATGTTTGCAATCAACTTTGTAATAGTTTTTCTTTGTCTACGAAATGAGGTCGAATTAATTATTGGATGCGAAACCAGCAAAAAAAAAAAACAAATGAAAATGGATAATAAACTGTGCAATGAGACGAACCCATTTAAATAGTCTGGAGTAGGTGTGTGTCAAGATTCATTATCCAGCACATTTGGTACTTGTCAAGTCAACCCATTAAAAATTTAAAAAGTAATAGTGTGTTGGGCCACATTATAAACTCAATTGATAAAAATCTAGTAAGCTAAGGACAATAAATGATTATCTCTTTTCTCTCACTATGATAATATTTTTTTCACCATTGTTGTCAGATAAAAAAACTCCAATCTGAATATGAATGCATCTGGTCCAAAAATTAAATGGGGCTACATAAAAAATTATATGGGGTTATGTACAAAATTTTTTAAAAAATAAGGTTAGGAAAAAATATTTTTTTTTGGGACATGGGGCTGGAGTCCACCCTAGCCCAAGGGTGGCTCCGCCCCTGGTTGATGGATTTTAGTCATTGATTATCTAAATAACTAACTCATGTATATCTGAGGACTAAAATCTCTCACGGAATCACTCCGTGACGAGATTATAGTATTTTTCCTGATTGATTTTATATCGAGGAATGAAAATTGGTACGGACGAGAAATAAAAGAGATTGTCGAAAGAGCATTTATTAAAGCTCAATCTCAAAGTCGTGTGAATTTGATCGTGGAAGTATAGTCACTTTCATTAGCATCAAAAGTACTATCTCTGAAAGAGATAAAGAGTTCGATTTTTGTACATGATACGCTGAACGAAATAATGGCCGAGAGTGGGAGAGAGACATGAGTTCTTAACATCACTGCCCGGGACGGCTGTATATTAGTAGACAATAATAATAAATAGTATTAATGCCAAAAAGAGGTAAGCCATTAGTTTTATTTTTCTTAGATAGATTTAAATATATCAAGTGCGGTTTGTGGTTGATTATAGTGTGTTTACGAATGTTTGAGATTATTAAATATGAGCCTGTCATTTTTTTAGCCAGTCACGGTATTCGGAGCTATGCCCCGATTAATCCATTAATCGACTCGGGTCGCACACCTGGTAGTGGTGGGTGAGTCTCCCAACAAGGGTTTTCTGCATCCACAAGGACTCGAACCCGAGACCTTACTTAATCGACATCAAGTTGCTTACCACTTGAGCCTGTCTTTTCATTCTCGTGAGTTCTTTCTTGTTTATATTTAATTAAATTTAATTATTAGCACAATGCTTTAAGTGGCAGAATTACATAAGGGCCCATAGGAGCACGACCTCCTGTAGAACATTTTGAGTAATATAGTATATATATGTTATATGTATAAATGTATTATGGAAAATGCTAAGATTCCGTTACGGGACGTTATCGTCAGCGTTTTCCATCATTGGATAAGAAAAGTAGGTTATGCTGTGCGGATAATCAACGATAACAAACGCGACGGAACCATTGCGTCAACGAGACTTTAGTTGTTCCCATGTATTATTATGCAAAGTCATTTCAGTAGGAAAAAATAAAAATGAAATGTTTATAATTATTTAACCTTCAATAGTAGTATGTGATTTTTTAAGTTGTGGAATTTGTGTTTATGTTGTACTCAACTTCTTGTTTATTTTATTTTCCCTTGCAAAATATGAAAAAAAAGAAATATTATACATAAATGTGTATACTATAAATGGATTGGATCAAATGTGCCCTATATATCCTTAAAATGAATGTGAGACCCAATTGTAGCTATTAAATAAAAAACAAGGTGTTTGATCAAGATTTAATCTTTTTATTTTTTTTAATTGGTTAAATATAGATTTAATCATTGACCTTCGACGTTGAATGTTACCATACTTTGTGCCCACGCTGTCCTTAAAGTCTGTGTCCGTCCATGATGTTGTCCAAAAGATATTGATGATCTTTAAATAAAATTCATGTCGTTGATCGAAGACCATGAGTTTTAATACGAATAACCGTAAAAGAAAAAAAAAAGTGTGAGGGACTAGTATAAACACATCTTATCTCGAAAACTAAATTTTACACTGCAAAAAACCAATTGTGAAAGACCTAAAAGCCATTATGTACAATTGTAAACACACTCTGAGTAGGGTTGTAAACAAATCGAATCAAAACGAATATTGAGATGTTCGATTCGGATTCAATAAAATAATAGAGGATTTATATTCGTATTCGATTTGTAAACGAACGCATTTTTTTCATTCGTATTCGATTAGTTTAGAATATTTGAACATATTTCATTCAAAATTTGTTTTCAAAAAAAAATTAAAAAAATTCTAATTACGAAAATAATTTTTATGTTTTCCATGTTTTTAAGGAAAATTGTTAATTTAAGATGTTTTTACTTTTTATTTCATAAAAATATTAAGAATATAGCAATATATATATATATATATATATATATATATATATATATATATA